TCCAACCCCAGTACCACAAAAGAGAAAAGAGCCTTTTGTTTAGAGCCATCTTCCAATAATTTGCCAAAATGATGAACAGAGAGAGGAACCTGGTACACATTGTCTAGGTAATTGAGAAAACATGGAGTTGGTCCTTTGGCCACATACATGTGACTCTACAAAAAAGGTAATATTGTAGACATCAGGGAAAGGTATACTGTCACACAGATGTTACCATGGCAAACTGGAGGAATCTACAGCATTATCCAGTGTGCTGCTGGCATTGTAAATGGAAGTTAAGAGCAAGATTCTTGCCAAGAGAATCATTGTGTACACTGAGCATATAAAGCACTCTTAAGAGCTTCCCAACATGCACCAAGGGAAGAGATCAGAAAGAGAAGGAAGGAAGCCGAAGAGAAAGCTGAAGAGCTAGCCTGCCCCACCGAGCACAGGTTTGAGAACCAGTAGGAAGACCCCAAGTGGGGACCCATTTACTGTGGATTCAGGGCATAAGCTGGGGAGGTAACTCCAGCACCCAGTGCTAGATGGGTGGCTGAAGTGCCAAGGCCTTGGGTTTAATAGCTAGCATTGCTAAAAATGAAGAAAGGTCCTCTGAATTGTAAAGGTGGTTTTCTTAATTGTGTAGGAATGTGGCACTCTTTCCCCAGAGAAGTACTTAGAGAAGTTCTCACTGTACCCAGTTGGAGATGTCATGTCTTGGCTCCTCAGAGTCAGTGTTTTTTGTGCTAAAAGATGTAAGGTGACTTAGTGTGCAGCAGATACATACCCAGCTGGTTAGGAAGTAGGTACAAAATATTTATAGTGGCTTGAAAATGGTCCCTCTGGGTCACCACAGAAGAAAGAAGTATGGAAATAAACGGGAGACAATCTATTGCATTGCAGTTAAGCCAGAAAGAGATCATCACTAGGAAATGTATTACAGCTAGATTTTAAGGATCAAGTGCCCTGCCTCAAGATGAGCAAGACCCCGCAGAGCCCAGGGATGAGCCCACAAAGTTAGCGAGCAGGGTCCCACTCTGAGCTCGAGAAAACGCTTTTCAAATTGTAAGCTCAAATTTTAATTTCTAGGATGGATGGAAAGGGTTTGCAAAACTAGATCAGGCCAGCAGAGGGTGGACTTAAGCTACAAATCATTATTTTAAAGCCACTTTGAACTTTCATGCTTTTGTGAAAACTTTTTATGCTTTATGTTTCTCCCAGGACTAAGTTGTCAGTCTCTATCTTTAAAATATTCTTGTTATTTCTAAATCATGAAGGCTCTATTATCAGATGTGGGGGGGCACTAACTGCTGCACACATTTTTCAGAGATGAAAAAGCCAGGCATGGTGGTGCCTCAGTAGTTCAGCTGTTGTCTGGAGGCTGAGACCTGGAGATTGGCTGGCGTCCACAAGGCCTACACAAGTACATGGTGTGGGTGAGGAGGAGCCTTGGAATTGTGGTTTAAAAATGTGAAAGAGTCACTTGACCCTTTATCTGTGAAATTCAGAAGCAACCATATACCCTGGTGACATTCAACTGTTGCTTTAGCTACTCAGGAAGCTGCAGCAGGAGGATTACAAATTTCAGGCCAGGCTGGGTAACTGAGTGAGAGCATATCTCAAAATAAGGAATAAGGCCTGTGGATATAGCTAGGTGGGAGAGTGCTTGCCTAGCACGCACAAGACCCAAATGATCTCTTTTCTTTTGAGACTCTCTCACTGGGTAGCTCAGACCAGCCTCAAACTCATGTCAGTCCTCCTGCCTCAACCTCCAAGATGCTGGTATTACAGACATATGCCACCACACCTCAGAGTTATTTCTAATTGGGTTCTGAAAGCACTTTATTTGGGATTCTCCAGTGTGTAGCCATGTAACTGATCTGTTGGGGTTTGATCGTGAAGGGCTGGTCTGGATTGAATGTGTCCCTCAGAAGTCCAGCCTAAGACAGTGACCTGTTGTGCCTGAAGGAGGGCAGGGTCCCAGGACCTGCGATGACTTTCCCTACGGGAGGCCCCTCTGGCTGCCCTGTTACATTCATTCATCCTTCACTGCAGCCAGACTGGCCTGGTCCCTCTGCCTTGGCTCCTCCTTCCCCCTTGCAAGGTCACTGCCCTTTCCTTGCTGGTCTTTGCCTCTTGGGAGATGTCTCCAACTGCTCAGGGCCCCACAAGCATCTGCTAATCACTCCCTGTAATCTCTGTACTCTTAGAACAATAATTTTTACTATTTTGGGCCCTTAACATATTCCAGCCTGTTCATCTGAGTATCTAACAACATAAACAGGACTCACCCTGCCATGTGTCTTACATCTGTGTTTGTGCCACCCAGAGCTGTAACAGACAATTGCTGTCTTGCGCTTTAGACTGAAACTATTGTTTTGCTTAGTGTCTTTCTCCTCACTATTTTCCCTAGACACATTTTCCCAAAAAGTCAGTCTTTCTCTGTCATTACACTGGCCTTTAGTACAAAGGAATATTTTGAATTTTATTTTCGTTTGTGTGAATCTTTTCCTCTAATGAAGATGGTAATTAGCAGTGAAGTGGTTAAAAATGCTAGTGGTGGCTTGCTATTATTATCCGTTGAATCCTATTTTGTCCCACACACTAGTCCAACAAGTTGCCTTTATTCCCGTGACAGCCTATGGCCTGGCTACTTTATTGCCCTTTATAGTCAAGGAGACAGGAACAGAGCTGTAACCTATACTAGCAAATGCACACTAGAAGATTGGGGCTCCAGGATTTAAACCTAGTGCACCCCTCCATTGCATTTTCTTGCCCCTTGAATGAGAAGAAGTAGAGTGGAGTGGAAGCAGCTGTGTGGATGAAACCATGTTTGTCCTCAGTGCCCTCAGAGCATCTTTCAGATTATTTGAAAAACATCAGGGATGAGATGAGGGAAGCAGAACTGAAAGGAAGTGGAGGATCGATAGATGTTCTGGGAATCTACAAGCTTGGGAGCAGCAGGTGGGAATAAAGCCATAGTTTGTTTTTGTCTTTGATTGTATAAGTTTTTTACTATGTAGGCTAGTAATAATAAAGCCTTAGTTAAGGGAATATTTCATTTTGTGAGAATATTTGCATATTTTTCCTCTGCTTATGATAGACTGTTAATGATTTTGCAGTTTTTATTTTTCATGGAGCAGAAAACATTTTTATTAACTGTGCTGTTTTATTGACAGACTGTTATTGGCACCACTGATTTATTAATATGCAAATCCTCATACTGTGTTATTTTATGTAATGGGAAAAGATGAACCGATACTTCTTTTCAAAAACTGAACATTTCAACTCTGCTAGCTCCATAGGCTATTACTGATACTTCAAAGATTTATGTTCTCAGCCAGACTTCTGCAGGATAGTTTTTTGGAAAAGTACTTTTCTGATCAGTGGAGCTTGAAAACATGAAGAAATACACAATTTCTGATAGATCCCAGCTTTTCTTAGATTTCACTGTAAAGCTGAGCTTCATTAAGGTACTAGTTATCAGATTTCCAGAGTATAGGAACCATCCTTAAATACGGATTCCTAGGCCATCTTCAGGACCAGTTCAACTCCTAATTCTAATGTAGATGACCTCAAGGTGCCAGAATAAGACAGAGGGTGGGATTTGAGTGGGCACAAGGGAGACTTAGTTCTCTGAAGATCCAGGTACTGAAGCACCAGAGAGCAGAGGGGCTTTTTACCAGGGCTCTTCAGGGAGTATGGGAACGAAAGAGTTCAGCCCTTTGTTGTGTGTCAGAAAGGGCCCACCCATTGTGCCCTTTGGCTGATAGACATCTTTTTCAATTCAGAACCACCTTTCTCCTGAGCAGCCATCTTCTGTTGGTTTGGGGGAGAAGGAAGTGGTTGTACAGATGCTGACTGCTCCCCAAGAACAGCTGGCAGAGGATAGGTCAGGAGACAGCTGGAGGAAGAAGGAATCCAGTGTCTAAGTTTATGTTTGCTGGCCTCTGAAGGAGGAGTTTCCAATCTGCAGGCTCCTCCTGAGAGGGCACCTGGAGCTTTTGCCAAGGGAGAAATGGACTGCGTAGGGTCTAATTGGGAGAAATTATATTTCTTTCCCCTTCTTCCCTTCTTCTCTGACACTTGGCCCATGGAGGCTAGCATAACTCAAGGGATGGAATTATTTTGTTCATGACACAAAGAAGCCAGAAAAAGCCAGCAAATGCTGGTTTTTTTTCTTTTTGGTGCTGGTATGCAATCCAAGACCTTTGCACTGAGTGACACCCCCAGTGTATTCTATTTTTACTCCTAAATTTTTTATTTTGAGACAGGTTTGGCTAAGTCACTGAAATTGCCCAGGACAGGCTCCAACTTTTGATCCCCCTGTCCTAGCCTTCCAGATGCTAGGGCTACAGGCAGGTACCACCATGCCCACCTTGAGCATGCTTATTTGAGTACTTCAGTTCATAGATTCTGGTGGTGGGTTTTTTCAATTTCTCTCATGGGTGGGTCTGAGAGTTTTTTTAAAAAGTAGATTCTTCATACTTAAAAATGGTAGGAACCACTTATCTTAAGTACTGTAATTATGTCTTCATATTGGTACAAAGTACTTCTCATGTAATGTAAAATAGTGTATAGTAACTGCTGTGTCATTTATGATGGATTTTTATAAAGAGGCAAGGAACACAGCATTTTGTTGTAGGTGTGAATTTTTTATTGAAATAAGAGCATGAAGAATACAAGTAGATCGGACTTTAGCAAAATAGCATCATTGGGTAAATACAAAGGGGTTTATAAGAAGCATGTTTGCTTAAAACTATTACATATTATCTGGCCATTTTATTGTGTGGGGAAAAGGCTATCTTTTTCTAAGAACATGTACATTTTTTAGACTCATATCTTAGTGCTTTTATTTTAATTATATATGCATATAGTATATATTGAGTCCGTTTGATGTGAGGAGTTGGTATATAAAAATAATACATCTTAATTCTTTTTATGTCTCCTCTCCCTCCCCTACCTCCTGGATGCATCTTTCTTTTTTTTAAAACATAGAATCAAATATCCCTTTTTTACAGGCACTTTTGTGTGGTGTAATTATTACCCGTCCCAAGGATCCACTGAGGTATTTAGAGGAAATGATTATGGTTATCATTGAAAATGGCCTGGAAAGCCTTCTTTGGTAAGTACTGATTTAATTTATGATAGGGAAATGTTTTATTTTGAAGGTTGAACACTGATAGCATAGTATCAAAGTAAGGACTTGGCAACAAATGCTTCCCACCTTAGGACTGTTAGCAGCTCCATCCACAACCTGTTAGGTGCCAGAGATTCACATACAAACAGAAGTGCAGTGTACTCTCATCAGGAAATGTGATCATAGGGCAGATTGTTTCACATGGAGGATGAGGACAGGGAGGCACATCACCATGGGGAGGTTGGAAAATTAAGGTGACATTTCAACCTGACTGGCTTCGGAATCCGCCTAGGGATTGGTAGAACACACACCTAGGCATGCCTGGGTGGGTCGTGGAGATGTGGCCTTGGGTTCTCTGCCTGGTCCCTCACCTGTTCTGCTCTGCCTCTTCCCCTGCCTCCTGGCACCATGATCTAAGCAGCCTTGTCCTTAACATCCTTCCGCTATATTGCCTCTGCTTTGGAGCCAGCTGGTCATGGACTGAAATCATGAGCACATTAAACTGCTCCTCCTGCAGACTGTAGATGTTGGGTGGTGGCCTCAGCTGCGACAAGAAAGCTAATCCAATGAGGGAGTGTGAAAGAGCCCACAGGGTGGTTCTGATCATCTTCTCCCGTGGGGAAATATCTCTTCTCACTGTCCCTTCCACACACACACAACCACACACACACACACACTGGCTGCAGGAGTCACTGACTTGACTATAGGCATTCTATGAAGTGAAATTAATTCTTGATCTTGATGTATGATTTTCTTAAAGGGATATGTGCATTGATCCATCACTGAAACCAAAAATTCGAAGATTGTCTGAAACCTTCCTTGAGCAACTTTTTGGACTGGATGATCAGCTGGTAATTCTTACTTCCCAGACATTATAAAATGTACATTTTAAGTCCTGATGGAAATTTTCAAAGTAGATTTTAGACTTCACAGGAGGTAAGAGGTCAGACTGCATTTGTAACTGGAGGCACCTAGTAAAGTGAAAGAATAACACACACACACACACACACACACACACACACACACTACACAGTCACACTCATAGTTACCTCCCCCAACTGCCAGGAACAGCACTTGTTGATCCTCTTTGTGCAGGCCCTCCTTTCCTCTTTTCTCTTTCTCTCATGTAGAGTAATAGCAGTATGAACAATTTAAAGGAGAAAGTATTCTTTCCTTTCAGTCTCCTCCCTGGGTTCCATTCTCCCGCCCTTCTCTCTGCTGGCTGCCCTTGCAGATGAAGATACAGGGCACCATGCTCATACAGACATGGCCAAAGCATTAATGAGGTCTAGTTTGAAGCCAGACTTGGTTATTCTTGAAAGCTGCTTTGACAGCTGACTTTGATCCTGTAAAGAAGACAACAAAGTCAGTAATGGAGGTGGTGGAGTCTGTGAACAAAGACTGTGTATGTGAAAGGTGCTAAAATAGCAAAAAGCAGGTGGGGAGAGCAGAACTCACAGAGATTAGACGTATGCAGGACAGTGTGTGAGACCTCTTGATTTCAGGCCTGCTGTCTGCGTAAGCCCAGACAGGGTTGGGAACTGGTGAAGTTGCACTTTGAAAATTGGGATCAAAGTTGTGTTTGAAGCGTGAGCTCAGACATGGGAACAATTGGAAGTATGCCTTTACAGGGATCAGTGGAGACTGACACTGTATCCTCTCTGCAAAAGAGAAACAAACAGCGGGACTGGATGACTGCACCACCATGGGGCTGACCTGAAAGAACCAATGCACTGGCCAGAACCCACGGGTGAGATCCTAGTGAACCTGCATGCCGGCGGGTAGCTTATGACTCTCTCAAACATAGACCTTTGATCTATAAAGAGGACAGGTGCACACAAACTTGGAGGTCATGCAGAAGCTAGAAGGAGGAGGGCCATGGACAGAATTCGAGTCCTCCATTCCCATCTCTTCACTCTGCTAGTGTTGTTTACAGTGCAATTTCAGTTGAAGAAAGCTTGAAAGCCGTCGATTGCTAAAAGGTACTTTGAAAACCAGTGATCTAGAGGTACAAACCTCATAGTCAATATTTTGTCAGGGATCTCATATAAAATCAGATTATGTCCAATGTCTATAGAAGCCCACAGGGAATTTTTATGTACTCTCACAGAATTCCACAAGGCAACATAGCTATTTCAAACTTAGAGTTTTATAGAAAAGGAATTTTCAGGTATTTCATGATGTTGAAAGCACAAAGGATAAAATGATAGACGCTGGTCTAAACTTTGAAAACATGATAAATTTACCAATGCATAGAAAAGATCTCTGTATCACATCATACTTTGAAAAAAAAGGAAATGAGATATGACTTTGCAACAATGAAGAAAATACTTAAGGTCAGACATGAACATGTGAGTCTCCATGTACTCTAGGTTGATTAGTTAGATCTAGATCTGATGAATTCACTTGCTGTCACTCTCAGAGATTAATAAATGTTATTTGTGACAATGAAATAAATCTTCATTGTTTCTGAAATTTTCAGTTACAGCATAACAAGGAAATTCTAGCTTTACTTTAAAAAATATTGTAAAGTTTCCTATATAGTTATAACTGGGGTTTCAATATTCTAACCAAGAAAATTAAATATCACAAAAATTGTAATTTTCCAGATTTCTTTGTGGGGTTTTACAGTTTCATACTATACAGTCCTGCACAGTGAGGGCTGCCTAAATCCGAATATTTATAAAAGATGAATATGTCTCTTTACTTAAAGTAAAGCACATTTGGGAAACTTAAGTGACTGAGTCAAATAGCTAACCAAAAAAAAATCTCTCATAACAATGGAGAGAAAGACAGTTTAACTGTGTGTTCAAAGATGAAAGAATCAGGCATTGTAAGGAGGAAACTAATTTCACAGACTCCATTCCCATTTCTTTGGGAATTAAATCTCCAGATGGCCTGACTAATTACAAGAAAAGAAGGCATGTATAACATTTTAAAAACCTTTTTAACTATGGAAAAATTGAAAAATAACCATAATTATTACCCATTTTGCAGCTTGAACAAAATCAGTATTTTGCCAACTTTGTCAGTTTATTCCTCCTTTCACCTTTTTTGATGGAGTATTTGAAAACAAATCTCAGGAATTACACATTTTACTAATAAATCTTCCGTGTACACCTTTGATGGGAAATACTATTTTTAGGGACTATAAACACAGCTCTGCAAAGGCAGAGCAAAGTGGCAGCTAAAATCTCCCAGAATTCACCTTCCTATCGAAACACCGAGTTGAACAGCTTATTCATGTTCCAGCCTAAAACTCCACAAGAGCTCAGGAAGTCAGGTGAGAGACCGCGGAACTTGTTTTTAGTATGAGAAAATGAGACAACGTATTGAAGAAACAGGAAGAAAAACTGCCCACCTCACCCCTCCTCTAACCCCAAGCAGCCCAGTGTGGAGAGAGCTGCCTCTTGCTTGGGGGAGTAAGAGTCGATCAGCTTTAGGCCTTAGACTTGAAATCCAGTCCAGGCTCACTATGATGAAGCTCAGTGTCGAAGCTCAGTGTCGGGCAAAGAATGCCCCATCGTGATCCCTATCGCTATGCCAATAACTATTGGGCCAAGTTGCCAGGACTGTCGTGCAGGCAGCTGACACTCATGTTACATCTCCTCCAACCTGGGGTGGCAAAGAAGGGAGCAGTACTTTGTGGGGAACAGGGGCACAAAAACTAGCACAGAGCTATGACTTGGAGCACAGTGCTAAGCCCATCACAGCGAGGCTCAGCACCTGGTAGACACTGAAGGCTCTGTATGCAAGCCGGAGCTCACAGATGGACCCTGTCGACTCATCCTGGCATCAGCTGGAGACCTTTGCAATCTTGCAACAGATGTGGTTTGGCCTGCACCATTTCCAGGATTAAAGGGGGCCTCAGACACACCCACCCTGCTCTCCAGACAGTGCAGGCCTCTGTGAGATTCAGGTCCTGCTCAGTTAAGTGTTAGCCTCTGTAAGCCAATGGACTGTCTCTGCCCACTATCTCTCATTCTCAGGCAGCACAGTTATTGCCAGGTAAGTGCTCACAGACAAGGCTCTAGAACTAATCTGGTACCAGGCAGAGACCTGCACTTCTGTAGGTGGGTTCCTGCGTAGGCCTGAATCACTACCAGCTGTGGTGTGGGTCCTGATCCACCTCTGAGCCCTTGTAGATGCATGCTGCTATATACCTCTGATGTGGCCCAGCTTAGGTAAGCCTTGATAGCCAAGAGACTGCCTTCATCAACATGACTGCTACCTCAGGCATCAGAGTGTCGTGCAAGACCTTGTTCACTGGGGAGATAGGACTTGGGTACAAAACTTTGTCCTGGACCTTAGTACAGGGCTCATGAAACCTAACAGTGGGCAGATCCTAACCTCCCATCCCCAGGCCTGCCTGCAGATAGAGCCTCTTGAGCAGCTTCAGTGCCAGGGGAAGGCACACAGCCCCAGTCTGTCTGTCTTCTATTCCAGCTGCCATTAGCGGTGGCTGGTTAGCTACAAGTCAAACTTAGCAAAAGGCAGCAATAGAGCAGTGTAGGCTTGGTCCCACCTCAGTACTGTGCTTGTCTTGGTGGACTGTGGACTCTCAGGATGACCCTGTGTGGCGACCCTGAAGGCTGCAGGTATGACATAGGAACCTGTCTGTCTACAAGCAGGAAGCAGGTCTGTCTACAATGGTTCTGCCCAGAGCTGAGCAGAATCCTGCAGTGCCTGACCACAGCCTGGTAACTGTGGATGAAGCAACTGGGGCTACCCCAGCCCCAGGCACAGATCTGTGGGGGATTTATGCTCTTTCTACCTGCTGTCCTGGTTCTTTTTAAGCAACACCCCAGCAGTGTTTGGGGACAAACTCTGCCTTCTAATACTGAAACAGTAGCAACACGCCAATGGTAGACCCCCAGAAAACCTGGACCTCGATACTATCCAGTGCTGAAATTGTGGGAATGACTGTGGGCTCAGAGAAAATAAGCAGCCTGCTTGGGATTCGAGAAAAAATGCAGTATTTAAACGTGTTGCCAGTATTTGTCATTATTTGTTATTGATTTCTAATTGTTAGAAGTTGATTGCTTGGCTAAAATGAACAGCTGTATTAAGAAACTCAAGGAGCTTGAAGGTAACACATATAAATGTGTCAGGACTCCAAAGAAGCTTAACAAAGAGATGGATGTGATAAAAAAACAAGCAAAACAAATTTTTAGAATTGTTATTGTTAAAATGCTCATACTACCCCAAACAATGTACACATTCAATGAAATCACTCTCCAAATACCAATGATATTCTTGACAGAAAAATGCTAAAATTTATGTGGCACCATAGAAACCCAGAAGAATCAAGCCACACTGAAGAAAAATAACAAAGCAGAACATATTACATTATTTGACTTTAAAACATACTACAAAGTGTCATACTCTGCGTGGGCTTTCCATAAAAAGAGACACATAGACCAAAAGAACAGAACAGAGAAGTTCTCTATAAAAGCAACACATCTACAGCCAACTGATTTTCAATAAAGATCCTAAGAAAACACTCTGGAGGAAAGAATGTTTCCATTAAACATTTCTGGAAAAATTGGATATCTGTATATGGAAGAATGAAATGTCCTATTTCTCACCAGATACAAAAATCAACAAAAATGGATTAAAGACTTAAACTTTAAGACTATAAATTATGAAACTACTAAAAGAAAACATAAGAGAAATGCTTCAGGACATTGGAATGGGCACATTTTTCTTTTTTTGGACAAGACTCCAAAAATGTCAAATAGACAGATAAGATTATATCAAACTAAAAAGTTGCAAGCAAAGGAAACAAATCAGCAGACAACCTACAGAATGGAAGAAACTATTTTCAAACTATACATCTGATAAGAGGTTG